CTGATGAATCTACTGAATAGGGCTGGACCCAGCACTGACCCCTGGGGGACACCACTCACCACAGGCCTCCAACTAGACTGCGCCGTTGGCCACAACTCTGAGCTCTTCCCTTCAGCCAGTTCCCAACCCACCTCACCACCCAGTGGTCCGGTCCGTACTTCCTAAGCTTGGCTGTGGGGATGCCACGGGAGACCATGTCCAAAGCTTTGCTGAAGTCGATGTAGGCTACAGACACTGCCTTCCCCTCGTCTATCCATCTGGTGATGCCATCATAAAAAGCTATCCGAGGGGCCAGGCATGACTCCCCCTTGGAGCATCCATGCTGACTACTCGGGATAAGCTTCCTTTCCTCAACATGCTTTGAGATGGCACCAAGAACCAGCTGTTCCATCATCTTTCCAGGGATGGAGGTGAGGCTGTGTAGGCTACAGACACTGCCTTCCCCTCGTCTATCCATCTGGTGATGCCATCATAAAAAGCTATCCGAGGGGCCAGGCATGACTCCCCCTTGGAGCATCCATGCTGACTACTCGGGATAAGCTTCCTTTCCTCAACATGCTTTGAGATGGCACCAAGAACCAGCTGTTCCATCATCTTTCCAGGGATGGAGGTGAGGCTGACAGGCCTATAGTTACCCAGGTCCTCCTTCTTGCCTTTTTTGAAGGCTGGAGTAACACTGGCTTTCCTCCAGTCCTCAGGCACCTCTCTTGTTCTCCAGGACTTGTCAAAGATGAGGGACAGTGGCCTAGCAGTGACTCCAGCCACCTGCCTCAGCACTCGTGGGTGCATCCCATCAGGGCCCATGAATCTGTGGATGTGCAGTTTGCTTAATTATCTCTAATCAAATCCTCTCCAGCTGAGGGAAAACCTTCCCTTCTATTAGTGCTGAAAAGTCTGCCTTCCCAAACTGCTTCCTAATACTGCTCTAAATTAGATGACCAACCAAATAAGTGATTTTTACAAGTAGCTTTCCATACCATATTGCAGTTTCCTATACAAAGCAGTGTATGTAAAATGGTAAATACACTAAGAGAGAAAAAGGCAGGACAACCCTTGCAAAAAGTAACACATTACTGCCAAAAAAAAAAAAAGTTCTCCTGTCATTTTAGTTATTTAAACTGTTTTTATGTTAATAACTAAAATCTGAAAAGGCCACCCAGCCTTGTCATACCAACATGGCTTTTTTTAAAATACTACTGCAGGTCTTGCTTTTTTCCAGCAGCTTCATAAAGAGTGTGGATTCACCTGAGAAAATGCTGTTGTGTACCTTTTCTCCTCCTTGGGAAGCTAATCTTCTTTCCAAAAAAACCCATATCGGTGTCTCCCACAGCAGCTGTCAGTACCAAAATATTTTCTCCTGTGATCGAGGTAAAGATCTTACTAAAAGTAAGTAGCAGAATTTTTACTTTTTGTCTAAATGCACCTAAATCCATCTTGTCAAAATAACTTAATTTAAAAATTGCACTCCTGGTGTAACAAGACACTTTTTTCCCCTCCCACTGTACAGCTGTGAAATCTAAGTATTGTGCAGCTCCAAACTACAGATTTTGGCATGGAGTCCAACAGCTGGTGCAGAACAGTAATTCAGAATGTATTATTATTATTATTATATCGGCAATATTTATGGTTGCAAACAGGATGTCTAACAGACAAACCCAGGACAAATAAATATAGCAAACGCTGTGTTTGAAAGCCAGCAACATAGGTTTTGGGGAAGAAGCTTAATAATCCTTCATTCCCATCCTGAATTACCTAATATTTCAGTGTTAATGGAGGTAACCATTAAATGCTAACATTTTAGTGTAATATCCAAATCGTGCATTTATACTACTACTGTTATTTCCTACAATTAATTGTGAGTCTAAACCCTTTTCTAACTTCTTGAATTAAACTATTTCTTGGTGAACAGTTCAATAGTGCCCTGAAAAAATAACAAATTCCCATATAAGTGTAATTGAATAAATCCCTTATACTGCCCCAGACTGTAGTCTGCTACAGCAGTATGCCACAGAAATTCAGTCTCTACGTGGGAATTGCATCAAAACCGTTGCTGGTCTTTTCTTAACATAACTTTTCTATGCATCTAGCTCCTTCTCTTCCTTCCATCACATGCGGATATTGGTTACAAGTCTAACTGTCATTATGATTTTACAGCTGCATTTGTTTGCGTCAGCCTCTGAATCACAAGTCACAAAGTGGAAAGGAACCTCCACTGAGAAGGAGCAAGGGAAAAAAATCAGGTTCTACCTTGTCTCAGCTTTCTTCTCCAGTGCATGCCAGCCTAACTCAGGTTATACCAGTGAGGAAATTATTTGTCCTGTGGCACATATATCACAGAAACATGGAATCAATGGTTTGGGTGGGAAGGGACCTTAAACCCCATCCAGTTCCAACTCCCCTGCCATGGGCAGGGACACCTTCCACTAGTCCAGGTTGCTCCAAGCCTCATCCAGCCTGGCCTTGGACACTTCCAGGGATGGGGCATCCACAGCTCCTCTGGGCAACCTGTCCCAGTGCCTCCCCACCCTCTGCGGGAAGAACTTCTTCCTGATATCCAAGCTAACCCTCCCCACTTTCAATTTAACCCCGTTCCCCCTTGTCCTGTCACTACAGGCCCTTGTAAAAAGTCCCCCCCAGCTTCCTTGTAGCCCCTTCAGGTCCTGGAAGGTGCTATAAGGTCTCCCCGGAGCCTTCCCTTCTCCAGGCTGAACACCCCAACTCTCCCAGCCTGTCCCCAGGGCAGAGGGGCTCCAGCCCTCGGAGCATCTCCGTGGCCTCCTCTGGACTCGCTCCAACCGGTCTATATCCTTCTGATGTTGAGGGCTCCACAGCTGGACGCAGCACGCCAGGTGGGGTCTCACCAGAGCAGAGCAGAGGGGCAGAATCCCCTCCCTCGCCCTGCTGGCCACACTTCTCCTGATCCAGCCCAGGATACCGTTGGCTTTCTGGGCTGCCAAACAAGCAAGGAATCGGGATAGAGGTTCAACTTTCTACTTCTGTGGTGATACAGCTGCATTCCAGTCAGGTTCTGAGGCAAAGCTGTAGTCCCACCCCAACCGCTGATCCTCACCATTCGCCACAGTAACGAGTCCACTGGCAATAAGCAGTACAGTGTAAGTACAACAGCCTAAAAGAAAAAAGAAACCAAAAACCCCCAAACCACTGACACCTCAGCTTCCTGGTGAT